TGCTCTTGCCGACTGACCATTGTTGGCAAGAATAAATGGGACAAAATGCCCAGTTTTGCCAAAAAAGGGGGGGAAGAATGTTCAGGGGGCAACCAGCAATGCCAGCTGCCGGGCCTTGGGCTGTCAGCCCCAGCCCCTGGCAGCAGAGCTCAGGCCAGTCTTGCACCGGGGGCAGGAGGGGCTTAGGCAAGCCCCACGCAGGGGGGGGAAGGAGGGATTTGGGCTATCAGCTATGGGCAGTGAGGCTCAGGCTTCAGCCCCAGCCCCGGGTGGTGGGGCTCAGTCTGTCAACCCCAGCCCTGAGCAGTGGAGCTCAGGCCAGCCCTGCGCCATGGGGTGGGAAGGGGTTGGGCCAGCCCTGAGCAGTGTCCTGTTTTCCTTTTGGGAAATATGGTCACCCTAAGTCAATGGGAGTTTTGCTAATGGCTTCGGTGGGAGCAGGACTGGGCCCACAATGGGGAAGAGCCACTGGACTTTTACTACGACAGTGAGGATAGCTAACCAAAGTGGGGGCACAAAGCCACAGGCCATTACTGGGGACCTCCAGGAGCTCCTAAGCATGAAAGTCACTATGGCCACTCAGCCACTCTTTAAGGAACGGGTTCGCCTGTCTATGGCCTTTGGGTTGTGCTGAGGGGATGCAATCTCATAGACCCATGTTCTCTCAACTTCTTGCCTTCACAAGCACCAGGAGTGCAGTCGTGGCTGGTGCCTGTTGATGAGGCACAAGGAGAAGGAGGCTCCATGCTGAATTTAAACAGGTGACCTCAAAGGGAAATGTTCTGTAAGCCATTATCAATCTCCTGGGCCACCCAGTCACCTAATACTTACCATTCCAATGGGACGATAGGACAGAAACAGCCAAGTTGAGTGAAGAGTGGACGTGAAAGCACATTGGACATGACGTCATAGTAATGAGAAAGGAAGGTGGGAGCTGGGAGGGGAAATGGAGGCTGGGGGTAGAAGTAGAAACATTTGTAATCCTGTCAAAAGCCTAGTCCAGTCAACAAAGATCCAGAGACTGAATATATTCCGGACCTGCAGAAGAGCTCCATGTATGCTCAAAAACATATCTCACTCACCAACAGAAGTTGGCCAATAAAAGATATTCCCTCACCCACCTTGTCTCTCGGGGACCCTTCTATGCATTTTACAGAAATTCTGGGCTATAACTGATGTGTGTGCAAATATTAAGAAAGAAGCAGGCACAGGGGAAGCTAATTATCTTCCCTAAAAAATAAATCCTGCCCTGCCCTCACGGGTGGACTGCCTCAATCACAGGCCCAGATAATACACTGTAAGCAGACATCTCTCGTCCCATAGCAGATTCTGCCTCTCCAGCTCATTCGAATTCATTTTTAGAGATTTAAGCAGGTTGGCTACTGAAGACTCACAATACTGTACCACTACTACGTAAATATAGTCATTAGTTATTGGACACCCTTAATGAAATGTTGCGCTTTTCCTTAAGCATGATTAAGGATTACAAAGTGTAAAAGAGATCTAACCATCTGCCTCACCTGCTCTGAAGCCACAGCCCTCCTCTGCAGGTGCTGTCAAGCTGCTCATTGGCATAGTTGTCTCCAGACTAACTAATGAGACCTACAAGAGCTGGTTTGATTGTCGTTTGCAATAGTGCACCGTTTATTGCGGCCAAAGACCTCGAGCCACTACGAACACAGCAATCTGCACTGTGTTTAACTGAGTCCCTGTGCATAAACTAGGCCAGTTCATTCTATGTTGATCTGGGGAGTGGAGGTAGTCTCTGCACATATATCTCTCCTGCCCCTGCGGAAGAGAAGGTTCAATAGCCTCTGTGGCTCTGACTGTTGGTGCCTGTTCTGGACCATGCGGTCAGCTCTGTGCAGGAAGGGGGCAGGCAAAGGAGAAGTACACCTCTACCCCGATATAACGCTGTCCTTGGGAGCCAAAAAATCTTACCACGTTATAGGTGAAACCGCGTTATATCGAACTTGCTTTGATCCGCCGGAGCACACAGCCCCGCCCCCCGGAGCACTGCTTTACCACGTTCTATCCGAATTCGTGTTATATTGGGTCGCATTATATCGGGGTAGAGGTGTATATCATTCCCCAACCAATACATAGAGAATCTGCAGAAAATCTATTATAGTTTGAGGCTCTGTTACATTTCTTTTGGTCCGGAATGGGGTTTCATGGGCCAGAGAGCCAGAAGGGTGAAGAGAGCTCTAGAATTGGTGTGGAGTCCCCGTATTTCTGCATGGATCTTCCCCCACTCAAAGATCCATGCAGATCTCCCTGGGTTCCAAAAGCTAAAACTCCTACTTCTTCCATGGTGAGGCGAACCCAGCCTCACAAGGGTAGACCATGGTCTCTCCTGACACCAGTCCTCTATGTTTTTCTACTGGGGAAGAACTGGAAGGAGAGAAATCAGTGCCACTGTGAGATAATTTACCCCTTGGTTACTGATTAACAGAGTACACCCAGGATGTGCATATCTAACAGAGTAGGTGTTACCTATAGAGTAGTTCACCACCTGTGCCTTCTGGCCATTCCTTTTCAGCAACTGTGAATGATTTTACTTTGTTTTTGTTAGCTGTAGGCCTTTCGGTTTGGTTTTAATTTCCCACAGCATCTTCCCTTTTCAGTTTCAAATGAGAGCTGGAGGGACAATGGATTAGCATGGATTAGCATGATTTGGATCATCATTGGCCTGATATTGATATGTAGCCACTCTGCTTTTCTGTGAGTACCAGATTCTGGTCTTTGAGACCCCTCAAAATAGGACAAAAATGTGAGTTACCTAGTACTTAGGCCTAGGGCTGATTCTTTGCACGAGGGCTGAATTTCACCAAAGAGAATAAAATTCTGCTGTACAATGGCTTTCTTTTTTCCTTGCATTGTGGGTGTCAGAACAATATTACTAGAGATGTAAATGGGAGTGAGCGATGAGGCTGCTGAAATCATATCATATTTATTACATACATGAGATAGAAAAACGAATTACCAAAATAGTATAATTTTTGTGAGCCAGCATGACCCTGAAAGAGAAATACATTTGTGAAGCAGATTGGCAGACTTGTAATTTTTATGGCATTGCAGTGCCTCCTATTTTTTCCCCTCATGCTCACGAACAGAATACACTCTATGTACTGAAGTTTAAAGATGGGTTACAGAAAAGGTATAATCTAGTGCTGGGAATGGCAATAACTGTGATATGTCCCATAAATTGGTGGTAAACTGGAAAATGGCCATATATCCTGTAAATAAAAACACAGGGGAAAACAAATGTAATGTTCAGTTTTAAATACTAACATCGAAAATAAAATAAGCTCTAGGTCCGCCATGAATTATGGGGCTGTGATATGTGAAACAGAGTCCTTTTCACTTAACAAGTCCATCTCTTTGTCTGCAGGCAGAGTTCTTATCCTCTGGCAATTGCATTCTTGCTTCTTAGTCTCTTGTTCTCTATGTTGTTTGTGAAGTCTCATTATAGTCAATACCCATCGGGTTCAAACTCCGGTCTGAAATTGGGACTTCAGTGCAAGTACATTATCTTTCAGATTGCATCCTTGGATTCTCTGAGACGTCAGTGCCAAGACCAAAGAGGAGTATTCCCTTTATACCATTAATGTTGTCCACATTTAGGGGTCGTCTGGAGTGCTTCTGTTTCAATAGGTTGTTTGTAGGCCACCTTCACCCCCTTTTCTCTCCAACAAAATTAAACTTGCCACACCATGAAGCGGCAGGTAGTAAAGTGCTTTATACAATGAAATATTTACATTTGGATAGGATCAGTTTTAACACTTTGTGGACAAAACTTCACATACGCTGCACCTCTTTAGTAAAACAACATTGCTGACAAAGGGCTGGATTCGGCTCTTAGTTATGCCGGTGTAAAAACATAGTCGTTCCATTGACTTCAACAGGTTCACACTGGTGTAAGTGAAAAAACAATTTGGCCCTAACATGCAGTGCACAACTGTTTTTGATGATGGCACATCCTAATCAGACCTTGTGCTATTACAGAGTAATTGCAAATGACATGTTGCCAACAGAGTTCTCCCACTGATACAAACAATATCTCCAGTTCTATAGAAAGCTGTTATAAGTAGTGGGCCAAAGTCTGATCTTAGGGTCTGGTTATACTGCAATCATGGGATATGACCACAGCTTGAGTTGAGGTACCCAACTAGCTTTAATCTCACTAGCTCAGGTACTGGAGCAGTGACACCACAGCAGTGCAGGCTTGAGTGTCATTAGCCCTGCAAATCCAGGGTTGCAGACAGGTTTGTACAGCCTGTGCTGAAGCATGAGTACTGCAGCTTCACTGCTCCAGGATCCAAGCTATGGGGATTAAAGCTAGTTTTGTACTTTGGCCTGAGCCGCAATCACTCCTAATGATTGCAGTTAAGACGTACACTCAGTCATCGTACAGCAGTGTAAATACAGGGAACTCCCTCAACTTCACTGAAGTTAGTCAGGATTTACACTGGTGTAACTGGAAGCAATTTTTTTGTCCATCCTCTTTAGTTTATGGGCCTGATTTTCCTCTCATTTATGCCAATTTTATAGTGGTGTAACTTCACTGACTTCAGTGGAGTTACTTCAGAATTACACTGAGGTATGTGAGATGAGAATCAGACCCTACATTTTTTTAATGTAACATTGGCTCATATGAGCACCCTTCCAAAGAAGATCCAGGAGAGTACATGAACATTGACCAGGAAGGGTTCAATTAGACAGAGCCTATGAATTGGAACACCACGCTACACATTGGGAACTATTTTCTTACATTCCAGTTTTCATTTCAGAGGTCTTCTGTCTGTGAAGTTTGCATTTTGTGCATAAAGAAATGCCCTACCTGTTTGTGCACTTCTAGTTGCAGTCTCTTTTTAAAATCTCCAAGACTTTTCTTCCAAGATCTGATTTCCACTGGTGGACAAAACTTTTCATATTGACTATCAGTCTCCCAGTCCGTACTTCCTCATGCCCTGCTACAAGGTATTCCAAGCCTGTAAATCATCAAAGTGGTCAGGGTTTGTATGGCAGAATGCTTTAAAAGGTGTGTACACTAAAAGTTAATATAAGTAGATATTCTGAAGGAAAAAACCCTACATTTGTGTAGAAATACTGTATATATAGAGAGATGCATCAAAGTCAGCCCTGTGGCCCAACTGATAGTGAGATCTGCATGAGATGTTGTTGTCAAGCTCTGAATCTGGTGCTGACTCACACTATATAGGCAAGTGGCATGTTGGAAGAGCTGTGGAGATAGAGAAGGAGAGGGTGCTGGGTAAAAGGGGCTCATTTTCATACCCTCTGTTTATAGACTTAATAGAAGTTGCTGGGTTAAATTCACTCCTGCGCAGCCAGCATAAAGTTTATGCATCACTCAGACCCCACTTAAATCCTCAAATTAGGGCACATGTGGGACATAAATGATCCACAGGCCTCATGTTGACCTTCTTTGCACAAGGGCAGATTTCATTCCCGTTGAGCCCCAGTTGTCCATGCAAAGTTGGCACGGCGTGTGTATAACTTGTCTACACTGTGTGTGTGTGTGTGTGTACATGTCATAAGGGTGGCACTAAAGGGGAAAATCATGTAAATATTTCCACAACACTATTTTTAGCTCTAGGGCTAAAAGTGAATTAAGGCTCATAATGTAAACAGATTAGAATAATGTAACCTAGCAAAGCAGTTATTCTCACCAACACTGAATTTATCTAATGGGTTTTAGATATTTAAAAATACTGGATCTGCTGAAGATCAGTAAGGCAAGTTCCATATGTTTTCCTATCCTGTCATGGAAATCTACAGCTGCAGGTTAAATGCCTGTAGGAACACAATTAGCTATGAGACACTCCAATGAGGCAATGGGGCTATTAGAAGAACTGGAATGAGCACCTGGAGGGTGCCTGAGGGCTTGCATTCAAACCAAAATGTGCTTCATTAAATTCTGCCTCACCCAGACATTTCAGAGATATGTTAGCAGCATCCTTCAAAAATCTTGCCTGAATTCTAGATGCTTCCACAATCCAGTGAAAAGCAGTGACACAGAATCCTGGTACATCACATGCTTTTGATGCCACAGGCCTAATTCTGAACTCACCTGATTTTACACAGGTGTAACTCTGTTCACTGCAGTGGAATTGCTTAATTTATATCAGATTACTGGCACTGATTCAAGAAGGTGCTTAAGCACGTGCCTGACTTTACACACGGGAGCAGTCCCATTGAAGTTAGTGTGATGACTCACATGCTTCAGGTTAGGCACATGCTTTCTGAGTACCTTGTTGAGTCAGGGCCAGTGGGGGGTAGAATGAGGCCCTAGATGTTTCATATAAGGCTGCAAGTTATGTGAAGAAACACTGGGCCAGATCCTGAGGGCACACAGGAATCTGAAAGCTGTCCTAGATGAGCAGCTGAGGATTCCCCTGGAGTCAGGGAATGGTGATGATGATTATTATTTATATTATGATAGCACCCACAGGCCCCAGCCAAGCTCAGGACCCCATTGTGCTAGGGGCTGTACAAACACAGAGTAATGGACAGCTAGTGTAAAGATGGCATAGTGGGCTCTGTGTAAAGATGGCATAGTGGGCTCTGCACCAGACTCTTCTGGCTCCCCTGAGCATCGTAGGGAGTGTTCCAAAGGTAGCATGTCAGGGGTGTGGCTGCTCTAATTTATCCCAGCTAGCCTCACCATCTGGACACGAGAAAGCTGGCTTAGAGCCATCTTTGCCACCTATAACTCCCTAGGCACAGCTGAGGATTCAGCCTGATGTAGGTAGTATTTTTTTTAACAGGGGAAGGCTATTTTAAAAGTATCAACTCCACAAGTAAAGGGGATACAGATATTTATATAATTTGATACAATTTACTATCTGTTACATCTGAGTAACACACACAGTCATCTTTCTGTAAGGTAAACATAGGATACATATTACAGTATGACTATTTGCAGAGCACTCACTATGGCTCTCAGGGCCGGTGCAATCCATTAGGCGACCTAGGCGGTCGCCTAGGGCACTACAATTTGGGGGGCAGCGACCGCGGCGGTATTTATTTCGGGGCAGGACCTTCCGCCGTCTAGGGCGGCAGAAAAGCTGGCGGCGCTCCTGATGGCTCTATCAACATTTCTGTTAGAAACATCATTTTTCAAAGGATCATAAAATCTCCCTACAGGAGGCAGCTTGGCATGAATGAAGCTCTGAGTATGGGAGCAAGTTTTTTTTAATTAGCAGTTGATGTTGTAGACTTGCTTTTTTTAAAAAGCTGCTGAGCTGTCGTTATGGAAGTGCAAAAATAAAACGAAAAAGCTTCGTTAGATGTCTCATTCTGTTCTTCAAGGTTGTGAATTTCATCTCAAATTCCTTGCTTTCAGTTGTGAGGAACTCTCTGTTCTTTTCCTATGTTTGGCAGAGCTGCGATTAGGAAGTGGAGTCTGTTTCCTTGAAGGTGATTGAGACACTTACATCTTTTGTGTTTACTGTCTTCTTAGTTCACTTGTGTGTGTGTGTTGGAAATATTCCTTGTAGGAACTCAGCGAGCTTATCATCTGAGCAACAGGGTGGTGTGATTTGATGAGTGTTTTTACATTTTCTGGCTGGAAACTCTAAGATCCAAGCCGCTGCTCTGTATTGCTGGGACAGAATGAAAACATGATATTTTTACACTATTTTGCTCTTTGATCTCTTTCATGTTGTAGGAGATGTTGTTATCTGAGAAGTTATGTGTGAGAAAATCATTTCTGCTTTGACTTTTTGTCCTGCTGTTCATGGTTTTTATTGCTCTGAAGGGTATAGTTCCTATGCTAAAGAGAAGAGTAAATGGGCCATTTAACTTACAAATACATTACTGACAACTGGCCAAAAATTAATTAATTAAATCTGGTTCTTTTTTACTTGCCATCTAGATTTTGGGTGTGAACAGTGCACTTGGTTCATGCTTTCAAGCTTTTCTTCATGACCATGAGGGCTAGAAACTTACTACCCTCTACCTCGATATAACTCGGCCCGATATAACATGAATGCGGATATAACACAGTAAAGCAGCACTCCGGGGGGGCTGCGCACTCCGGCGGATCAAAGCAAGTTCGATATAACGCGATTTCACCTATAATGCGGTAAGATTTTTTGGCTCCCAAGGACAGCGTTATATTGGGGTAGAGGTGTATTTTTTAAATGAAAGCTGAGATTCTTTTGCAATCACAGGACTCCAGGAGCTGGGGCATTAAGAAAAACATCAGCTATCACAAGACTACAAATAAAAGCCTTGATCCAGTGATGAGCTCCATGGAAGCAGATCCTACCTGCAGCAGAGCTCTGTGTTGGTACAGGGTCTTCTCATGCTATCTCATTGAAGAATCAGGGCCTTAGACTCCTTTCCTGCTCAGGGAATATTTCTGAGTATATCACTATTTCCTTCAATTTATTCCTTACTTGAACTCATTCAATTAATTTTAAAAAGTGTTTTTACGGTATGGATGGATTGCAAACAATTCACCCAATATTGGATGGTTTGTCATTGTGTTACTCCAGATTTACACTTGCATAAAACTGGAGTAGGACAGTGGTGGATCAGGGTCACAAACTGAAAATCTGAGCTATGTTGCTTGTAATTGGCCACATAAGTCATAGAATTGGCTCTGTTCCCTGACTGGAAGTATATACAAATACGTGTGTGTGCAAAATTAAAGCGCAGTTTCCATTTTGCTTTTCACAAACATTTCTGATAGGAAAATTCTCAAATGCTCCCATAAAGTTGAACACAAAAGGGGCACAAGCGTAGCTGAAGTGAATGTGCTATCAGAGGTGTCAGAGCTATATTTCTAACGGTTCTCCCTGACAGACCACATCCCCAGTGTGAGCATATGTTTCTCAGTTCTTTCAGCATGCAGCAATGTAATTGCTACTAAGCTTCACCTACTGAAAACTAACATAGGTAAGAGCAATTTGTACATTTACATAAATGTACAATTGATGTGTACCAAATGCATGTTTTTGAATATTTGCCCCAGACACCGCATCTCCGACTCTTCTTAGCTGTCTGAGTAGCAGCTATATTGATTCACTCTGTAGTTGGCCTTTAACTTGGTGAAATACAGAGCTAGATCCTCTGCTGGGGTAAATTAGTAAAGTTTCACTGAAGTCAATAGATTTTCACTGTTATACACCAGCCGAGGATCTGAACTATGATTTCCTTTGTTCTTCAGCCCTAATGGAGTTTCTTCAGCTTTATACCAGTAGAGCTGAGATAAGAATCTGGCTTTTCCTGTTTGCCTTTGCTTTGCATATGGAAACATTAAGAACCTGTATCTATTGCATTAAAATGTTTAAGGATTTTTGCGATGATCCAAGGTCTTATGTGCTTAAATAATAAACTTAAGCATAGGGATGCTGATTCACCCTATCCCCTGTACCATGGGAAGTATATTAGAAAGAATTCCTAAGCACATCTGTCCTACCTTCTGTATGTTAGATTCGAGGCCAAACACTGAGCAATATTTCTAACGACAACAAAAGATTGCAAAAATCTCCACAATGGTAACCTTTTTGAGTGATCTGATGTCTTAAAGTAGTAATCTTGCAGATGACCTTCTTCTCACTCAGTGAAAAATCTTCCTATTGCTAAATGTGTAAAGGAATCCTCAGTATTGGAATCTACATTTTGTTCAGGTAACCCCGGAAATTATATGCAAACATTGTAAAAAGAAAAAACAACGAGGAGTCCTTGTGGCACCTTAGAGACTAACAAATTAATTTGGGCATAAGCTTTCATGGGCTAGAACCCACTTCATTGGATGCATGGATACAGGAGCAGGTATAAATACATGAAAGGATGGGGGTTGCTTTACCAAGTGTTAGGTCAGTCTAATGAGATAAATGCTACAGTTAACAGCAGGATACCAAGGGAGGAAAAATAACTTTTGAAGTGGTGAGAGAGTGGCCCGTTACAGACAGTTGACAAGAAGGTGTGAGTAACAGTAGGGACCGGACAGTCTCTATGCAAAAGAATAAATGGACACAAATTTGACACCAGGAATCATAACATTCAAAAACCAGTAGGAGAACCCTTCAATTTCTCTGGTCACTCAATAACAGATCTAAAAGTGGCAATTCTTCAACAAAAAAATTTCAAAAGCAGACTCCAGCATGAAGCTGCA